GTAAACCAGACCTTTGTTTAGAAAGTTTGGAGACCCCTGTTCTAGGGAACAGTTGGCTTTTGATCTCCAGCCCATCTTACAAAATAGTAAAGATACCAATTTGGAATAACTTGGTAAAGTAAACAAACACCCTTCACACCATTGTAAATTTTGAAATAAAGTTTATCAGTGGGAAATGGCATGCATAAAGAGGTGCATGTCTGACTTCATATGCAAATTTTCTTGAGACATGTGGGGTATGGCCTAATGAATTTATGTACTGTATGATGGCAGCACAGGGACAGCTTGTGGTGTTATCCATCTATATACACAGGTACCTCTATAAGATCTGGTAACATGCTGTATATTTAATAGGATAAAAATGAGTCATACCACATTATCCCCCATATGGCTTTGACCCCATGACTAGCAAACAGTATGGGATCATAACACATCTGGGGCAGCCACCATAGATCAATTATGGCAGTCATATGTGTATAGGAGTGTGCAGTAAGAAACTGTTAATGTGCTTTAGTTTAGCATAATCTGTTGCAACATGATGATTATTATGTTTATTACTACCATTAACAATTTATAGTTTCCCACACTGCTGATCTTGCCCTCTTCTTAATGTTGTCCTGACTCTATCATCTCAAAGAGGTGGTCTTAGATTTTATTTCCTGTTTGAATATATTGTAAGCATTTAAAGGCAGGCATTCACATAAGAAGGGGGCTTGATCCCAGAAACACTGTCCCAAACCTATGGGTATCCTCTGTATATCTTGGAGAGGATGTCATATTGTACATTAAGTATAGTGGGTCAGATATTACTATGTACCGAGGACTAGACAATATGTCTGTGAGTTAAACTGTTTTGTGAGTATTTTAATATAACTCTTTTTAAACAATGCAATGGTGTTAGAAGGTGTTTCACTAAGCAAGAGTGTTCTCTTTTCTTTTTTTTTCTTAGTACCGAAGACAACTCTGGTCAGAGGAGAGCTCAAAGACCATAACAAATCCCTTACCCCACAGGCACTATGTATGTAATAGGAGGAAAAGCTCTTCTGCTGGGTGTCTCGTTTGTTTTATTCAAAATCTGAGCACTGACCTTGTGTGCACAGTTTTAGTGGGTATTTTGTTTTTACTACATTTGGTTTTGTTATAGAAAATTTCAGCGATGAATTCCCAATTCAATTAACCTAGATAATTTCTGTAAGTTTGCAATTACCCATTAATTGCCTATACTATACTTCTTAAAAACCTGCATCAGAGATCACAGTGGGTGCAAAGTTGTATTTGAAAATAATGGTACATGGTTGACAAAATAAAAATGCTCTTACATGCAAGAGACAATTCATAGCATCTGTTTTGTAGGACTACCAGCATGCCTATGTTATACTTTGTAAAACACAAATTATATACAAAATATTACCTAGCATGTCTGACATTTCAGTTTTATTTTTATACTCGACACATTGATAAAATGACATGTAAAAGGTCAGGCTTGATTGCTTAAGAGACTGGAAAGGTAACTACCTCATCATTATTACAGAAGTTTATAAATTTAAAACATTAAGTCTCTAGAGGTACAGTCAACAAAAAAAAATTGTAGAGACATGTTTGAAAATATTTCCACAACATATTATTAGGAAAGAGCAGGTAGCAGCAGATTTGTTAGATCTGATATTTTGTAGAATTGACATTAATGACTAGCGCTGGTCAAACACATCCATGAAGTCAATGGTGACAGAATTTAGTTGGCTGTACGTGATGTGATATTGCAGCTAAATGACATAACCTAGCTGCAATAAAATGAATTACTGGTGAATTAACAAATTTAGTCAATGATGTCACCCAGATTTCTGGAGGTAAATGACTGCAGCCAAGAATCTGTAATTTAGGGTCAGGACTGTACAGATCAGAGAGCAACAGGTAATTGTGATAGACATAGATTACCTAGTCGGACGACTTGCTTGATGGATGCATCAGTGGATGCAATGCTTGACACTCCTAGGGGCATTAATAAAATTTATTTTAAAAGCCAGTATGTGTTTGTTTTCCTTTTTTTAAAGGTTTTTCAATTTGTTGCTTTTAACACTTTGTGAGAATTGATGTACCACTGCAGTCATACCTCTGGGAGATGGTAGATGTCTGGTCACCCCTATACGGCTTCCATATTCCATCATAATTTATTTTACTATTACCTCCACCTCATTTCTGGGGCACATGGAGGTGGGAAGAGGTCCTTGTCCCTCAACATTGGAACAAGGGTACCATTCCAAGGTATGGAGGCTTGTCACTCTCTTTTGCAAGGTACCCCCAAAGTTGAAAGGCATGTAGCAAGTATGATACAGAAAGGAGGGTGCTACATACCTGCTTTCCTCTGTTTCCTGTCCACCCAGACTGGATGGATTATTAAAGTGCACTGCCATTTTGTCCCCTATTTTGTTTATTTTAATTTTTAAACATTATCTGCCTCTGGGAAACTGATGGGATTACAAGGTGACATAATCAGTTTTCATTATGTGACCATTTATAGTCAATTATGTCACCCAGGGATCCCCTGAAAATCCCAGCATCAGATAATGTTTAACAACTCTCTTAGATTGTAAGCTCGAAAGAGCAGGGCCCTCGAACCCCTTGTATATAGTATTGTTACTGTCTTGTCTCATGTTCTGTCCCCCTTGCTACTGTACAGCGCTGAGCATACCCTTTGGCGCTATATAAATACTGTATAATAATAATAATAATAAGTAAAGTGACAGTGCAAAAAATGGAAAACATGGCAGCTGAAAGTGCTGTGTGTGTATATTTATGTGCATAGACATATGCATGCTGCATAGATGCTGTTAGACAATAGTCCCCAATCTCACTGCTCTCAAGCTCCCATTCATTCCTTTCCGCTGTGGGCATGCCAGGTGCTGAACCCTGGGGCTGGCTCCATGTACACATCGTCAGTTTCAGGAGTTGGATAACAGGAAAAACACTTCAGATGTGGTAATTGTACAGATAGAGCAGTAAACAAGAGCACATACCATGAGCAGAGCTGAACGTAGAGCAGACTGGATGGTACTTGTGGTGCAGCACCACAGATGTTGCAGATGCGAGGTTAGAGCAGGCCACGTAATAAGCGAAATCTAGACAAGCCAGGCCATACATAAGTAAATCAGAGTCCAAATGGTACAGACTCACAGTGGAAAGAACAGGGTGACTGCAAGGCAGGTCATACATGGCAATCAACAGAGCAAATAAAAGCTGGGTCAAGCAAGAGCACAACAAGTAGTGTCCACTATCATGAGCCCCGGTGGTGTGTGCAACAGGTGCTTTAAACATGGACAGAAAGAAGCTGGTCAATCACTGTTGATTCCAGGTAAAGGCTGTCTCAGGTGAGTTTTGCTCAGCCTTAAAGGGCCAGCCTGAGCCCTGGTACAAACACCTAGTATCAAACAATGAACCACATACTGATGACATCACTTACTCCAACAAAGTTTATTCAACAAGACAGAACATACTTCACACTTATATTTATATATATACACACACATGACAGTATTCCATGTAGCAGTGAAGTGTCGGCTCCCCTAGGATGGGAAGTGATGACATTAGCCCAGGGCCCTGAACGGTCAGCAGTCTGATCGGAGGATTGGTCCGTACGTCTCCAGAGCACACACTGGCACACATGATCCTCCTGCTGTAACAGGAAGCCAGCTAGTGACTGAATGGGGTGTGTCCAGCACTGGTTCCGCCTTCTTCTACACAATTGGAGCCAATCAATAGGCAGGGGTGTGCTCTGGTTGCAGGGTTAAACCTATGTGAGTGGGAGGATCGGGGCCTGATTTGTATGAGGGGGAAGCAGTGTGGTGCTTGGAGGCCGCCTAAGGAGGATGGCAGGTCAAGGAGGTGACAGGAGGAGGAAGAGGGAAGACAATGGTCGAGGTGAGGGGATGGATCGTGTGGGACACCACTACCTCATGAATGATCCTTCAGCTGAGGGGAAGGGCAGCAGAGGAGGAGGAATAATGATGAAGGAAGATGCTGTGTGCCTGGGGCCAGACTCAGGCACACAGCTGCCGCTCCTTCCAGTGTTCCTCTCAGACTCAGTCCCTTACTGCAAGCCAGCTGGCGGATGCTGATCACTGTGGAGTTCTAAAACTCTTTTTGTTTCTCTGTCTGATTGGTTAATACAGTTCATTTATATTTGGTTAATATATATTTTTTCTTTAATATTGGTGCTGGTTGCATCTTATGGTACTTATTTTCTGCAAATTAAAATTTAGCAGTTTCATGTTTTGTTGATTTAATATTTTCTACTGTTTTTAAAAATTATTTATTTATTTATTGAGGGGGGCACAAGTAGATGGTCTTGCCTACTTGCCTAGGGCACAAAATAGTCTAGCACGAGCCCTGAGTGGGGGGCAGGGCTGAATGTGCAGTAGTGCATTCACTTGGATCAAACTACATGACATGAGTTCTCTATTTGACAGCACAGCTCATACAGTTAAGTTTAACACAGAAAATTTGAAGTAATGTCAAATGAACTGCTAATAGTCTTACACATAAAGTGGAACTTCACTCTCTCAATTAATATTGACTATTTTGAAACCTTATGCTGCTAGAAATAGTAAATGGATAGGAAAGTATATCATATTTACTTGTTTTAAACAGTTGTTTTTTACATTTCTTTAGTTATGTCCTAGTTTCTATAGTAGTTAGTCTGGTTGAAAAAGAGAAAGTTAATCTAGTTCAACCAATAATGCCATGCTTAAGCAAATTATGTCATACACTCCATGCAACACCGGTCATGCAACACTGTACCCATATGAAATTTTTATTATTTTTTTGTGACAGATAGAGCTTTATTTTGGTGGTATTTAATCACCTTGGGTTTTTTATTTTTTCTTAAACAAACCAAAAACCACTGAAAATTTTGAAAAAAAAAGTTTTTTCTTAGTTTTTGTTATAAAATTTTGTAAGTAAGTGATTTTTCTCCTTCACTGATGTGCGCTAATGAGGCTGCAGTGATGGGCACTAATAGACTGCACTGATGGACACTGATAGGTGGCACTGATGGGCACTGATGAGGAGGTACTGGTAGGTGGCACTGATGGGCATTGACAGGCATCACTGATGGGCACTGAATAGCGGCACTGATAGGCAGCACTGACTGGCAATGATAGGCGGCACTGACTGGCACTGTTAGGTGGCACTGACTGGCACTGTTAGGCAGCACTGACTGGCACTGATAGGCGGCACTGACAGGCACTGATAGGTGGCACTGATGCACACTGATAGGCGGCACTGACCGGCACAGATACGTGGCACTGATTGGCAGCACTGATAAGTGGCACTGATTGGCATTGATAGGTGGCACTGACTGGCACTGATGGGTGACACTGAAAGGCAGCTCATATGGGCACTGATATGTGGCATTGATGTGCACTGGTAGGCACTGATATGTGGCATTGATGTGGCACTGATGGGCACTGGCACGTGGCACTGATGAGCACTGACACAAGGCACTGATGGACACTGACAGGTGGCACTGCTGTGGCTATACTGATCATCAGGGTACAGTGATCATCGGTGCCCTGATGATCAGTGTACATGTCCCCTCCGCGAAATGCAGATTACCGGCTTTCCTCGAGAGGAGAGAAATGGAGATAACCGGCATTTCCCTGTTTACATGTGATCAGCTGTGATTGGACACAGCTGATCACATGACCGAACCGACATCTTCGTCTCTTTCTGTGGATCGGTGATCCGCTGTGTCCCAGGGACACATGTTCACCATACTGCACAAAGCTGCGCTCCCTGCCGCGCCCACCTTGTCCTGACGAGAGAACTACCTAGTATGGCGGGGGGAGTTAAAGAATTTCACCTTTGGAACATATTCCACTCATTTTTATCATGTAACATGTTCCCATAGCCAAAGCTGCGCCTGCCGCCCCACCTTCGTCTGACAGCTAGTATGGGGAGAAGTTTCCCCATACTATCTGCCAGATCTAAAAAACAGCACGGACGTGTGGGGCTCCGCCCACACAGCTGCATCACTCATTCACAGTGTTCTGTGACTACTGTGGGCCTGTTGTTTTCAATGAACTACCACGGCGCTGCCTTTCAGGCGGAAGCATTTGGGTGGTATTTATATGCAAAATAAATAAAGTTACACCCAAGTATATAACATTCTCCCCCCCACCCCCAAAAAAAACATGGTGCCTACGCGTGAAAAAGTCAATTGCAATACACATGTTACATATTGCTGCACACACCAGAGCAGGGGCGGACTGTCAACTCATGGGGCCCCCGGTCAATAGGGGATCATGGGGCCCCTGTGTCCTTGCCCAAACTCTGAAAAGCCTATGAAAAAGGTACCAGGGGCATCTCATGGCATCCCCCTGCTGACCCCGGGCCCTCGGGCAGTGCCCGACTTTCTAAATGGTCAGTCTGCCCCTGCTAGGGTCGGACTGACAACTCATGGGGCCCCCGGGGAATAGGGGATCATGGGGCCCCTGTGCCCTCACCCACACTCAAACCACACCCAAAAAAGCATATGAAAGGTACCAGGGACATCTCATGGGGCCCCCTACTGACCCCAGGCCCTCAGGCATAGCCCGAGTGCCTGAATGGTCAGTCCGCCCCTGCCCACAACCGTAAAATCAGTCTGTATATGCAGTAAAGCATGCTTGATATAATCACTGTGGAACCCAAGGTGTTAATCCTCTGCATTGTGTAAAAAAAGCTGTTTGATCCTGACTTCTCTGTCCAGACAGAGGTTAGGGGTTTTGCACCCTCCTAGAGCAGAAAGAAAACTCCTCCTACAAGCTTTAACATGTGCTCTGGTAGACACTGATAGAGGTTACAAGACTGCTATATACTGCTGCTGAGAAAAGGTATTTAGCAGTTTATATTTACTAAAATAATTGCATTTCTATTTCCTGTGTACTGTGGGAATCCAGATAGAGTGAATGGAGGAACCTGGGTTTAGTAACACTTTAAAGTAGCTTTTCCAATATATAAATTGATCATAAGCAGTACAACTCTCCTCCATTGAATTCCCTTTGTCATCACTTTCAGCCTCATCTTCACATACTTTAATCATCCCCAGGTTCCAGACTCTTGTTCCATGCTGTGAACGTTCCCAACCATAGTATCACTAAGTGCACGGTGCACTTCAATGCACTTCTGATGCTATGAACAATTCTATAGTGAGAAACTGTCACTGAGTTGAAAGCATCTATGCCATCTATGACACCTATAAAGAATAGAGAAATGGTCAAAAAAATAATACCTATTAAAGTGTTTCTAAAGCCACATTTTTTTTTCAAACAGCGTGGAAAAGTAAGCAACCCTGTCAGTTCCTCCTTGCTGTGTCCAAGCTGGGGAAAGGAACCTACTCGTGTTGCCCTTGTAGCTACTGTCATAAGGACTGAAAATGGGGGGAAAAGTCTCAAATTTGGAAATGTCCCCAGAACAGGAATAGAAAGGGCACATTTCCCAATAGTACTCTTATTGCAGTGACAACTAGCTAAGAAAGAGTTTCCTTCACTCTAAATAGATTTTCATTAATTTCCTGTTGAACCTATAGAAATTCTCCCCAATGGTAAAAAAAAACCTGACAGGAGTTTTAAATCTTCTCTAAAAATCTAAATCTAAAACGTACAAATTGCTAGCTTTATATATAGTTTAAAGGTAATAAGATGGGACGGGAAATGTAGCCATAGCCTTTTTCTTCTTTGGAGATCGACTGAAAATAGTCACTTTTGGACTGCCTATCCCACTTTTACTGTGGCAGAGCAGCCCTGCTGCACTGGACCATGTACAAGTATGTAATCCAGCATTTCCCAGTAGGGGGTGCACTCCCGCTGCCGGATCTGTGCTGTTGTTTGCTACAGCACAAGTCAGTCAGCAGGTCCCAGCCAATGATTTATGGCCCAGGACCTGCTAATCAGCTTAGTGAATGACAGTACAGTGCCCTGTGTTTAGAACACAGGGCTCTGTACATGAGAGCAGCGATGTGTCTGTTTTTTCTCCCTGCAAAGCAAGGGGAAAAAAAACAGATATACAGTATCTAGTATTAAAGCAGCACACATTACACATTGTTAGGCACACAGTTAACCCTTTGATTGCCCATATATGATAACTCCTTCCCAGCCAGTGTCATTAGAACAGTGACAGTGTATAGTATTAGCACTGATCACTGCACTAGTGTCACTGGTGATGTCAGTTGCAGTTAGTCAGTTCCTACTCAGTGTCAGTTAGTGTCAGATTGCTCTCCGCACTATCACAGTCCTACTATAAGTCACTGATCACCGCCATTACTAGTACAAAATAGGTAAATAAATAAAATTACAGTATATTTGCCATCATGTGTAGACTCTATAACTGTCACACAAACCAATTAATATACACTTATTATGATTTTTTTTTTTTACCAAAGACATGTAGCAGAATACATTTTGGCCTAAATTTATGAAGAGATTAGAATTTTTCCATTTTTTATTGGATATGATTTATAGCAGAAAGTAAAAAATATTGTTTTTTTCAAATGTTTTGGCCTTTTTTGTTTATATAATGAAAAAATTAAAACCCCAGTTGTGAACAAATACCCCTGAAAGTAAGCTCTATTTGTGTGAAAAAAAGATGACCCCACGACCTCAGAGCATCTATAGCTTATAAACATATCTTTCTATACATGTGCAGCTGGTCAAAATTCAAGGTTTATAGAAAATGTTTTTGGAGTCTTATAAAACATAACTGTTACATAACTAAACATGTATATATAGCCATATTTTTCTTTTTCTGCTGTATTTTCTGCTGGGGAGATTTGCTTTCATTTCATGTCCTGGAGATTCAACTGGAAATGAGAGTTCTTCCAAAAGTGAGGGCAATCACCATTTATGCTAGCCATGCAAGACTTAAATTCAAGCCATGGGTGGTCTTGTCAGCGCCCCTTGGCTCAGCAAGCATCAGTTCATAAATCAAAGGGAGCCTGGCAGAAAATTCCTCCATCCATGCTGTTTAGCGTGGATGAGGGTGATTTCTCTCATTTGGCCATATACCGCCATTTATAAACGCTATAACTTTCACGTAAACCAATTAATTTACATGTATTGGGATTTTTTTTAGCAAAGACATGTAGCAGAATATATTTTGGCCTAAATTTATGACAAAATTTGATTTCTTTGAATTTTTTTACTGGACATGTTTAATAGAAAAAAGTAAACAATCTAGTTTTTTTGTTTATAGTGCAAAAAATAAAAAAATTGCACAGGCGATAAAATACCACTGAAAGAAAGCTATATTTGTGGGAAAAAAGGACGGAAATTTAATTTGGGTGCAGCATTGCATGACTGCGCAATTGTCAGTTAAAGTAACGCAGCGTCGTATCGCAAAAAATGGCCTGGTCAGGAAGGGGGGTAAATCCTCTGGAGGGCAAGTGGTTAATGTATTATAAAAAAACTACATTGTCCATATATTTAATAATACTCCTAGTGCAGGATACAGAGTTCCGATGTTGGCATTTATGCAATAGGTTTTTAGTCTCTGTGTAAGAAAATAAAATGTCTTTATCCCACCATGTTAATTCACCCAATGGGTCATGGTGTGAAGCAGTGGCAGTTCCAGCTGGCAGTAAACCACTATTGCAAACTAATGGCAACAATGACAGCATCCACCACCTCAGTATTAGAACTGCATGTAATATCAATCAGCTACCCTGCAACAAACTAGTCTTCATTTTAGAGGAAGAAGAGGAAGGGGATCCATGCTACTACTAGGGGAAGAAGGGGAAGGGGATCCATGCTACTACTAGGGGAAGAAGGGGAAGGGGATCCATGCTACTACTAGGGGAAGAAGGGGAAGGGGATCCATGCTACTACTAGGGGAAGAAGGGGAAGGGGATCCATGCTACTACTAGGGGAAGAAGGGGAAGGGGATCCATGACAATATTATGGAAAGAAGGGGAAGGGGATCCATGCCACTACTAGGGGAGGAAGGGGAAGGGGATCCATGCCACTACTAGGGGAAGAAGGGGAAGGGGATCCATGCCACTACTAGGGGAAGAAGGGGAAGGGGATCCATGACAATATTATGGAAAGAAGGGGAAGGGGATCCATGCCACTACTAGGGGAGGAAGGGGAAGGGGATCCATGCCACTACTAGGGGAAGAAGGGGAAGGGGATCCATGCCACTACTAGGGGAAGAAGGGGATCCATGCCACTACTAGGGGAAGAAGGGGAAGGGGATCCATGCCACTACTAGGGGAAGAAGGGGAAAGGGATCCATGCCACTACTAGGGGAAGAAGGGGAAGGGGATCCATGCCACTACTACTAGGGGAAGAAGGGGAAGGGGATCCATGACACTACTAGGGGAAGAAGGGGATCCTTGTCCCTACTAGGGGAAGAAGGGGAAGGGGATCCATGCCACTACTAATCCTAATGATGTCATTGTTGTCTGTGTACGGCATATTTGTATACACAATACAATACAGACTGCTATCTTTTATAATTGTTGAATACAATCATAATGATTATTGGATACCGTATAAACCCTCTTTCACAGTAAATACAACAGTTCTCATTATACTTACCCTTTATTCTGGTGTATACTGGCTGGTCTCATGTAGATCAATGTCCCTCTCCTCTTTTCTTTGCTGGTGGCAGGCCTCAGTGCTGCAGAGAGTAGTGCTGATGGTATCATAATTAGTATAGAGCACATAATTACAAAATACAAATTTACAAATATATATAATGATGTCCTGTACTTATTTCTAAAATTAAATGAACATTTACTTGAAGTACAACAGATTAGTCTCCAACTCCAATTATTTTATTTCCAGAAACATACGGTGTTTATAGTGAAAATCAATATTTGGACAGGAGTTCATTTATAATGAAGCCATAAAAACATTCAGTTTAAGAATCTGTTTAGTGCTATTGTATACCCACTCACCGCTTTATTACAGTCGGATTGCTGTGGCATAATGTATATTTTGAAATAAATGATAGCATGCTGAACTTAGTATCAGAGGACTAGGATTCTGAAAGCCAGGCACTTAATGCACAACCATAATTTGTAAATACAATTATCTAGAGGAAACGTAGATTCAGCTCACTGCAAGCTATTTGACAAGAGACATCAAACGCTTTGCTCAGGTCCATCACTATCTAATTCCATATAATTCAACATATCAAAACACACACTCTACAGAACCCAGAGGGCTACAGCCAATGTTCAGGTTCAAATTACACTAGAAAGCTAATGCAACATACATTTCAGCAAAATAACTACGGCGAGGGAATCACAGAGTTCAAATCTCAGCTATATCCTAGGGAAGAGTTGATGCAGCAAGTTCAGAGGTCTGGATATAAAGGTTGATTTTATATCTTGCTGTATAGAATCTTCTCTATTATAGGCAACTGGCAACCTGTAATACTCCTGCTGGAACTAACC